TGAGGAGGTCCCCGGACGTCAGCCCGCGGAGACTGTCGGACATCAGCCCGCAGCTCCGGCAGCTCAAGTACTTGGTGGTGGACGAGGCCATCAAGGAGGACCTCAAGTGGTCGCGCTCGGTGGAGGACCTCAGCGGCGGGCCCGCGGGGCTCACGTCCATCGAGGAGCGCATCCTGCGCATCACCGGCTACTACGGCTACCAGCCCTGGGCGGCGAGCTGCAAAAGTAAGGCCCGCACCTCCCGGCCCCCTTCCCGGCCGTGCGCACCCCGCCGGGGTCCCCCCTGCAGTCCTGGGAGCGCGCGCAGCCGTGCGCCTGGCCGCCCTCCTGCGCCCTGACCACAGGCACAGACCCAGGTTGGCAACTTTTAGGGAGCGGCCTGGAGATGGGAGTTCTCGGGGGCTTTTGGGGATTTCTGATCCATTCTCCGTTCCCCACACACCTCCCTGTCCTATCCCTTGCTAGTGAGGGGTCACCCTGGGAGACTTTGGGGACGGTGTGTCCTGCACTGTGAGGCTTCCCTGTGGATCTGAAGGTGTCACTCGCCAGAGTGGGGCTCGGCTGGAGACTGCACGCTCAGCTGGCCTGGATTTTAACTCTCCCTGTTCCTCTAGGCCAGTGGTTCTCAACCTTCTGGCCCTTTCAATACAGTTCCTCATGTTGTGACCCAACCATCAAATTGCTTTCGTTGCTACTTCATCACTGTCATGTTACTACTGTTATGAATCGTCATGTAAATATCTGATATGCAGGATGGTCTGAGGCGACCCCTGTGAAAGGGTCGTTCGACCGCCAAAGGGGTCGCGACCCACTGGTTGAGAACCGCTGCCTAGGCCCCGATGGGGGACAATGCTTGGGCCTTCATTTGAGCTCATTCACTCCCTTTGCCCCGCATTGTTATTTGTCCTCCCTTGAAGGGCTGGGCGTGGACCCTTCTAGGTCTGGTACAGATACCTGGTTGGTGTCAGGTGGAGCCGCCGAAACGTTCCTGGGCCGATGGGCCGGGCTGATGGCTTTGACAGTGTGGTGATCAGCGATGCAGGCGTTACCTGTGTGTGAGCGGGACTCATTGGGGGACATTGCTTTCTCTGGGTTTGGAAGGCAGAAGGTAACGACCACCCACTCGGGGTACCCCTGACTGCAAACCACACGGAGGGGGTCCCCACGGTCTGTTTCCTGACCACAAGGAGGCAGGCAGTGACCCCGGGGTGCGTGTGAGACATGCGTGACACGGTTCCATTCGTAATACAAGGCTAGCAGCTTCGTGATTCCGGGATATGTCTCTACCCTTTGTTGCTTGACATTGGAACATATTTTGTTGGTCCTTAGGGGGAGAAAAATCCAGCTCTCGTAAATTAATCACAGTCCGTTCTAAAAATACATCCACTTTTAGCGTGTGTGTTGTTGTTGTGGTTTTTTTTCCCCCTAAAACCCCTAGTTTCAAGTCAAAGGTCAGTGGTGTGCTAGCCGTTAGCGGGTTCCTCTTCAGCCCTTCGCAGGGAGAAATGTGGGACTTCAGTGTTTTCTCTCCGTGTCCTTGTTTGTTTCTGAAGGACGGTGGCGATTGCGTTGAACTCTGTCTAAAGGTCGCCCGGGTCTCCTCCCATCTCCTGCGTCTGCTGCTAAAATTGTAGCTGGTCAGAAGCTGGCTTTGGGTTCTAGAAGGAAGACACAGGTCCGAGTTCCCCTTTCAACTGGAAAGCACTGGGCATAGAACCACAAGCCCATTTCTCCTGGAAATAAGGAGACTCGAATTATATTTCTGCCTCTTAAATTTCTGTTAGAATCTCTGTCTCCTATTCCTAGTCTCTGCTTCCCGAATAACCGAAGACAGTGGTACATCAACCGCAGCCTTCATGGGCCCGTCTGGTTAGCCCGAAGGTCATACTGAGGCTGGTCATTGTCATTCCGTCTGTGACCTTGGGAGCTCACGGCAGTGTTTGGTACAAGCATGCTTTATCATTAAGACAGGGGAATGCGTTGCCCTGTCGGTGTGGCTCCGTGGCTGAGCGTCGACCTAGGAACCAGGAGGTCACGGTTCGATTCCCGGTCAGGGCACAGGCCCGGGTTGTGGGCTTGATCCCCAAGGGGGGGCGTGTAGGAGGCAGCCGATCCATGATTCTCGCTCCTCATTGATGTTTCTATCTCTCTCTCCCTCTCCCTTCCTCTCTGAAATCCAGTAAAAAAAAAAAAGACAGGGGAAAGGCCATATGGAGAGATATTAGCAGACAAGGCTACGGTGAGCATAGGGCCGTGAATAAAATCAGTTCACCCCACTCTGTCCTCCTATGAAGATCTTTCTTTCCTCCAAGCTATTTCCTTTTTACTAAAACGCTTTACTAGTAGGTGAAAACTGACATTTTGACGAATTAATTGGATTTTAAGTTTAAATTTAGAGAAACTAATGTTTGACTAATACAGCCAAAGCCCTTTTAGAGCAATACTTTAGCTGTTTTGAAGAGAGAAAAAAAATCATCAAGAGCCTTATCTATACGTTGAAATCAGTGAGTTATTGTGTTTGTTGCTTAAGCATCACGCTCAACAAACTGGGAGACATGCCCACAAAATAACTTATTCCCATGGTCTCGGAGCACGTTACATTTCCTGGCCTCGTGGATCTGGAGGAAATTATATTTCCTGTCCTAATTGCAGAGCCCAGAGAGGCCTGTACCGTGAGGCACCTGGTCCGTTGTTTTGGTCACCGAGGGAGACAAGCCCTTGAGCAGCTGTCTAGGACATGGGCACGTGTCCTGCTCTTGGGCGGCTTGAGGTAGCCTTGACCTTGACAGCATTCGAGACGAGAGAAATGATTGACCTGCAGGAGGCTCAAGGGCGTTGGGGCCCCTGGGACGTCTCAGAACAGTTGTCTGGCTTGACAGATGTTTCCTCTGACATTCAGAGTTCCTCCTGTCTGTTGTGTCTCGTCCACGGGCCTGGACTAGGTGAGATTCTATCAGGGAATTATTTTTATCCTTCCCCACCATCCGCTTCTTGGCAATGGAGAGTTATAAAAATTTTGGCTACGTCCTCAAAGTTTGCTTCCCAAGGGTCGGAAGAAAGATGTTTCTTCATGAATGTGGACTCTGCTTTCTTTTTTTTTTTTTTTTTTTTACAAGTTGAGTCTGCTTGTTCCCAATGAACGTATATTAAGATGTTCTCCTCTGGAGAACCCCATGGGCCAGGCTGGGGCTTCAGAAAATCCCTGCGTGCTCATGAACGCGCTCATTTGTAAATGGCATAACCATCCATCCACCCATCCATCCACCAGCAGACCGTTCGCTGCTTCCAAGGGGCAGCAAATGCAGTCCCTTCCAAGTACACGGTATAGTTACTGTTTCCTAGGAAATTACGTAGAGGGAGACAAGACGGGCAGGTATCACTCCATGAAGCCCCACGCTCTCCTGGACCATCTGTCTCACAGGTGCACACGTGTGCTCGTTGGACGAAACAGCTTGGATGGTCTTGGATCCCCCCCTCCCGCTGACCTCATGACACTAACCATCGGTTGCATCATGACTTCTTGTAGGGCATCACCCACAGCTCGTGAGCAGAAGGCTAGGGGGTGGGCCCCTGGCAACTTCTCTCTCTCTCCCTTTAAAAAAACTCAAGCTTAGCCCAGGCGGTGTGGCTCAGGGGTTGAGCATCAACCTGTGAACCAGGAGGTCACGGTTCTATTCCCGGTCAGGTCACATGCCTGGGTTGTGGGCTCCATCCCCAGGGAGGGGGGCGGGCAGGAGGCAGCCGATCAATGATTCTCTCTTATCTTCATTGTTTCCATCTCGCTCTCCCTCTCCTTCCTCTCTGAAATAAAAAATATATATGTATTTTTAAAAAAACAACAAAAACCCCAATTGCGTAAACCATTGGTTATTGGAGACTGACTCAATCCCTCGGCTCCCTGGAGGGGGACGTGGGACGGAAAGTTCCAACCTCTCCTTAGAGTTGGTGCCATGGCAACCAGCCCCCCCGCCTCCGGGCTCCCTGCAAGCCAGGTCTTTAGTACAAACTCAGGTGTGGCTGGCAGGAGCTCACCCATGCCCCCTCGTTGCTCTTGTCAGGAAATGTCAAGGGTTTGAGGGGCTCTGGGCCAGACATGCGGGTGAAAACGAAATATATATTTCTTTCCTTTTTAAAAAAAAACTTTTAAATTGAATTTACTGGGGAGACATTGGTTCATAAAAGTACATAGGTTTCAGGTGTCCGATTCTACAACCTGTAATCTGTGCATTGTGTTGTGTGTTCACCACCCCAAGTCAAATCTCAATGTTAGGCTCCATCTGAACACAGCTCCATCCATCCATCCATCCATCCATCCATCCATCCATCCATCCATCCGTCTAGAACATCCTTAAAGAAAGCCATTGAGGTTCCCATAACACGGGGTGTGCCAGGAAGGAGTGGGGCTGGGACCCTCAGTCCGCTATGCCCCCCCCCCATTTGGAAGTCAGCTGGGGAAAGAGAGTGACCAGGAGAAGGTGGGACAAGGACTTTGAGACAACCCAAGGGCCTTTGTGGCCAGCCACAGAGGCGGTGCTGTAAGCAGCTCCATCTCTGAGCATCCTTTGTAGCCAGGGGTGGCCACGGGCGGGCCATGGTTTTGGGCGATGAAATATACATGAAATGCCTGAGAGAGGAGTCTCTTGCTGCACAGAAGGGAGAAGCCTGCCGGAGAGAAAGTTCTGGGTTATCCTCGTCCCCCTCCGCCCTGCCCAGATCCGGACACAGTGCCACCGCCGTCACCATGTGGATGGGAACTCCCCGATCTGCTGGCAGGGCAGGGAGGTGGGGCCAGTCTGGGTCTCGGCTGGCGTATCCCAGCCACACCAGCCTGGGTGGGATCGTGTGTGTGTGTGTGTGTGTGTGTGTGTTTGTGTGTGTGTGTGTGTGCGCGTTTCCAGTCTTCTTAGCGCAGGAGGGAAGCCAGCGCCGCCTGGCTTTCTGTGCTGTGCACCTGAGCTCATTTGTAACCGGGACAGCTCTCCGATTCCGAGTTGCAGAAAGAATGATTGAAATTCAATCAAGCGGGCCTTCCTATTGATCGGAGGCGCTCACCAACGGAATAGACTTCTTTTATCTTGTTCTTGGGAGCAGCTCTTCCTCCGTGCCACCCCCACCCCAGGGCCCACGTGATGGATGTCCCTGCCAGCCATCGGGTAGTCAGACCCTACGGTCACCTTGGTCCGTCCTCCTGCCTCCTGCACACCTCATCGCCAGACGCCGGGCGG